ACGAAGACTTTAGAAGTGGGCCATTTTAGAAACTTGTATAAATTATCTTAAAATACTAAGAGACCCATTTATTATGTCGTATTCGTTATTACTTCAATAATAGAAGACTTCATAGTGATATCCATTTCTTTTCTTTTTTCATAATAGACTTCAACGTGCACAAGAAGAACGTACTCGTCGAAATACAAATCGTTTTTATGATGATGCAATATGTGGAAATGATATAAATAGTATTTATCGTAATGATACCACAAGCAATCAATCATTGTCTTCCTTATCATATGGAAATGAAACATCATATATTCATAATAATTCTTCAACTGGTCAACAACATAATTCTTATGCACAAAATGCTAATATGCTTGCCGGTATAAATGGTTCTACACCAACTCATCTGGCGTACTATCCAACTAATTCAGTAATATTATTAATCAATTTTTTTATTCTTAATTCTCTTTTTTGTATTTTAATCTTAGGGTCCTTTAACATATAATCTTGCTGGTATTCCAAATTCAACATTTCCTAATCAACAACAACTTATGGGACATTCATATCCAAATGATCATATAACATTTTGTTATGCACCACCTTATGGAGCTCCAACTTATCTTCCTAGTTTAAATGGTGATACAAAAACTGATGGTATTATACATCCTGATAATGAAACTACAATAAGTACAGGATGTCAAAATGATGAGAATAATGATAGTGGAATTAAATCGGAATCTTCCTCAACTGAACAAAAACAAACATCATCACCACCACCACCAACAACAAATGATAGTGATACAAATTTACAAAATGAAAAACATCGAGATTCGAATTCTGTAAGATTTTTATTTTTCTTATAAAAAAAAATGAATATATTTATTTTTATTTAGAATCAAAGAATTCGATGGAAAATAGGTGATATGTGTTTAGCTCGATGGAGTGAAGATGGAGAAGTAAATTATAAATATTTTTGTTTTTGTTTATCATAATTTTATTTTATAGTTCTATCTTGCAACTATTACGGAAATTCAACCACCTTATTGTATCGTTCTTTTTCGTGATTACAATAATTACGATCAAGTTCATTTTGGTAATTTAAAAATGATATCACGTGATCAACAATTTGTAAGTTTTCAAATTTAATATTATACTGTTATCATAAAACAATAGATTCAAAATTTGCGTATGCAGATTTCGGCCTAATCTGACAAGCTCGAATCAGTAAAAACGAGCGAATAGTATGAAAGTATCTTTGTAAATATTTAACTAAGATATTTATTCAATCGAATAAGAAAATTTATTAAGCTGAAAGACTCTTGATATCTAATATTATTTTTTTTCAAGTACTCATAGAATTTATTATGATGAATAGTTATGTAATGCATATCGTCCCATTATATTGACAGAAATATCATTGTCTGTTTTCGATCAAAGATTTATCAGTAAACATTCTCTAGTTTATTAAAGATAAACTTTCGTTTTGATTTTTAACGTGTCATTTCTTTTCTCTTATTATAGTATCCATTCATTCCTCCACTATCGGATATAAATATGTTAGCTGCTAATGGATATTTTCCACCACGTACAAATTATTATCCTTCATCAATTGATGGCTATCTTATAATGCCTGAAGCTCCACCATTTCCATTCAATTCTGCAGGTACATTATATATGTATCCACCACCATTAACATCAATAACACGTATAAATCGTTCTAATACAAATGGTTCACAACAAATAACAAAACGAAATGAAAATGGTGATTCAGTATTAGATTCTTCATCACCACCAAGTAAAGATTCAAATGATACAAGTGCTATTGATTCAACTACAACATCATCATCATCAAATGATGACAATCAACAACATGATTTATCTGTATCACGACCATGTTCAATAGCTGATGCACCATTAACTCTAGTCACATCAGATGATTCTCGTGAACGTAGTACAAGTACAGAAAGTGTAACAAGCAGCAAAGATGATGAACAACAATTGACAAAAGAAGAAGAAGAAGAAAAAACAAGAGAATAATTCATTAGTTAATATGAACATACACACAAAGGTTTACAGTGATGATCTGCTTTGTTGTTCTTCTTCTATTTTTAATTTTATTATTTCTTTCGGTATAAAAAAAAACAAACATTTTTTTTTCTGTTGATACTTATTCGTTGTTCTTTCGCTTCAAAATGTTCATCGTGCTCTGTGGTGTTTTTCTTTTTGTTCTCATAGTATTCATATTTGTTATCCGTTTTTTTTTCTTTCTTTCTTTCTTTTTCTCTTTCTTTTTTTTTTCCTCTAGCGCATTCGCATGTCTGTGCTTATTTATTTTACTCTTTGTATATGCTACCCTTCCATTTGATTTCGTTATACAAGAAAGGGAGCTTAATATCCACTTAGTTTGTGAACAAAAAAAAAAGAGACCAGTCTATATACCCTCGTGAATCCTATTTTGTTTCTTTTCATTCGCACATTCTTTGTCTTTAAGTCCATGCATATATACACTAATGCTTTTCATTTGTGATGTGCGAGCGTTTACTATTATTATTATTGTTGTTGTTGTTGTTGTTGTTTTCTGGTGACGATACCATGATGCTCTCTTTCTTTTTCTTCTCTAACCGTCTGTGTGTGGTCACGTTATTATTACTACTGCTATTATTATTTCTTGCGCGTATGCACGCTGTCTCTTTCTCTCTTTCTTTTTTTTTTGCTTTTTTTTATTATTATTATCATCACAAACAAACAGAAGAAAAAAAAAAAAAGGAAAACTAAAATTGGTTTTTAAACAAGAATATATACAAAAAAAATACGAGTCAAACATATATAAGCAAATCTCTTTTTAAAATTATTTTATAGACAATGACAACTACAACAGATATGAATTCGATAGGATTTCATTCATCATCACGAATGAATGATGAAACTAATAATTCATTTTTATTAAATCAAAGTCTTGATCGAATGGATGTTGATGATAATACTCATGATATAATAACACCTTCATCAATAACAATGAATGGACATACATCATCAATTGAAAATGGTATTAATAACAACGAAAAGAAAAAAGATATTTTTCATCAAGGGTACAAGAATTATTTTTTTTGAAAGAATAATTTTTTTTATTTTCAAAAATTTGCTTTAGAAATCCAATATTAAATAAATCATTTGATGTTATACCACAAATTATAGATGATAATACTTCTTTAGATGATCATGTAAGTTTTAGAGATTATCTCTCTATTCATTGATAAGATAACTATTGTTTCTAGGGGAAAAATAATAATGTACTCGATACAACTGTTGAATTACCTAATAATAATGAATCATTGGATGAAAAACCATCTCGTAAAGTTTTATTTTGAAAGAAAAAAAGAAAATTAAACAGAATATTTTTATTCAGATGACTTAAATATTTTGAAACCTGTGAATAATATTGAAACAACAACGAATATTCCATCATATTTACCAAATCAATTTTCTCGTATGAGTATAATCTCTACATAATAGATTTTATTTAAATAATTTTTTTTATTCAGTTGAATATCCATATGAATTACCACAGCAGGAAGAAAATATTCAATCGTCACCAAATTCTGTTGATACAATCGCAGGATTAGCAAAAAATATTAAATTAAATGGAAATAAAATCATAGATGGACAAGGTTATCTATTGAAGTTTATTCTTCCAGGAAGAAGAAGAGACATAAATTTTTTTTCTTTATTTATTAAGAACCTTCAACATCTCCATTAACTAATGAAAAAGCATTCGATACAAATACATTTATTCTTAGAAAGAAAGGACGAAAAATGCCAACACCACCAACGAATGAAAATAGTTTTAATGCAGTATGTTTGCATTTATTCGAAAAGAAGAAATAATATAATTATTTAGATTATTGATGATAATTCATTAGAAACGATTCATAAACAATCGCCATTTAGTACACCATCTGTATCAATCGATGGTACTGTAGCACCTCGATCTATGCAATCGACTTTACAACAATCTTCTCTTGATCCTACACGAATTATGTAAATAGTTTATCAATAGATTGTTTTTCTTTTTAATTTAATATTTATTTTAGTGAATGTGTTGAACAATATTATCGAATACTTTTTCGTGTTTGTGAATGTACAGAAGAATTAAAACAAGAATTACGACATGTTAAAGGTGAACGTGATCAAATGAGTGAAGATTTAATAAATGCTGAAAATGCATTTACAGATGTTAAAAAACGAAATGAAAAACTTAAAATGATTATTAATGAACATAAAACAGTTTGTTTTCTTTTTTTTCAAAATAAAATTTTTATTTTAATATTTCATTTATTGTTTTTTTAGAATACTGAAACATTAAAACGTTTTTCTGAAGAGTCTGTACGTTATACAGAAGAACAAAAACAAAAATATGCTGTTCTTAAACAACATGCACAAGAAAAACTGAATGAGTAAAAATCCTTTTTTTTTGTCTATCAAAAATAAATTATTTTTTTTTGATTAATATTAAAAGAGCAAATGGTGAAATTGAACGTTTACGACGAGTACAAGGTTCAGATATGGAAGGTGTTCAAACACAATTACGTTATACACAATTACGTGTTCAATCCCTTGAACAAGAATTAAAATCTGTTAAACAAGAATTAGAACAAAAGGTAAAGAAAATATATAAATTAATTCTATCAAAAAACATTTTCTTCTATATTTTAGAAAAAAGAAAATAGTGAATTAACCAATATCTGTGATGAATTATTAGCTACTAATAAGAAATAATATATCTGTAAATATTTATGATCAATAAAGAATGATATTCTTAAATCAACATTCCATTTCGACATATAATTATTGTTACCTTTCTTCCTTCCTTTTTCTTTTTACAATACTCTCTCTCTCTCACAAATATTGTACTAGTCTATATTTTTCTTTGTTTATTACGAGCTTAATTCTGTTCTTTATTTTGTGTTCAAAATATGTTAGATAAAAATGATTATTATATTTCTAGATAATAGATGCATTCCTTTCTAAGTCGATTAAATACTTTATTTGCTTTTACAATAAGTGTTCTTGCTGTACTAACAATTGGTGTATTTATATCGACGTATTTTGAAAAATATCATGAAACTGTATCAATTGGAGTCAATAAACCAATTGTGTAAGTTTAAAAAAATTTAGTATATAAAATAATAATGAATGATTATTTATTATTTAAAGAAAACATATGACTGATTATTCGGCAAATCGAAAGAAGAATGATTTAGGTGTATTACAACTTAATTTAGATATGAGTAAGTTGAATATGAATTGAAAGAGATATATTTAAATAAATATTTGTTAGATCTTAATCAATTATTTGATTGGAATGTTAAAGTATTATTTTTATATTTAATCGCAGAATATGTGACACCAACAAATGTGAGTAATTGTTTGCCCATTTGTGACTCTTTACAAAGTATTCTATATACGTGAAAAACTAAGGATTAGGACCAAAATTTTGCGCTTGTTCTGAATAAGGGCTTAGAAACTATGTACTTGTTTTCGTTTGAGAATAGTAAGGAAATCTGTGAACGTCCTAAAAAATTGATGTGAATGGAGAACAAATATACATTTAAGGCCTCCATAAGTCCTTGTACACAGATGATGAACATGATTCAATTTGATAATTTTGTAAAGCAAGCAAATGTTTACACGAGTACAACGATAATCATTTTCGCAATGAGCTGCATCTGTCTACATTGATTTTTCAACAATGCGACTGATAGAAAAACAACAAATTAAACTCCAATGCGAAAATGTACGATTCCATTTCCCGTCCCAACTATCTTTGCTAAGCCTTTCAAAGATTTACTCACTACTCTCGAACAAAATGAAGCAGGTACATCATTTCTGATCTCATATTTAGAAAGAGCACAAAATTCTGTTCCGAACGTTTAGTTTTTCACTTGTTTAGAATACTTTGAAGAGTTTTCGAAATTTTATGATAAATTTTGAAAACCAATATGTTTTCAGATGGACTTAAGATATTATCTATAGAAAATTTAGTTCAGAGAAACTGGAGATTATCATTAACATCTCAGATAAGATAATACATCTTTATTATTCGCAGAGTCTCAATCAAGTTGTTCTATGGGATAAAATAATTCGACGTGGTGAAAATGCACGTATTTATTTACATGATATTGCAACGAAATATTATTTTTGGGATGATGGAGAGAATTTAAGGTTTGTATTCAATTAATATCTTTAATTTATTATTAATTATATTGTTTGTAATCTAGATCGAATAATGTAACATTATCACTTGCATGGAATATAATACCAAATGCTGGTCGTTTACTTCATGTTCCAGCAAATGGATCAACATCTTTCATTTTTTCTGATCAATATACAACAAGTCGAGCAGCTAGTCCAAAATCAAGTAGTTAACAATAGAATTAAAATTCGTTAACATCTTCTTTTATTATTTTTTTTGTTTTTCTTTTTGCGTATTTTAATTGTTATATGATATTCTTATTCGTCTCTTGCTATTGATATATAGACCGACAAAGGAGACATTAAATATAGAATCGTACATAAGAATATAATCAAAAATGAATCTCTAAGTATATTTCAATGATACACGATAAGAAATTTGATTTAATCAATATTTTCCAGATAGAAATCAGCTGATTCCAGTTACTATATATATCTTGTACGACTTTGAGTAAATTCGAAAAAAGTAAAAAAAATTCAATGTGATGAGTCAGTAAATAAATACACAATATAATGAAAATATATTAATTGGAGAAAATTATTTTAACAGTTCGTCTTTTTCGATCGCAAAAATTGTCATTAAAAAATTCTGAATATTGTTTCATATTAAAGTCTAATCGAACTGTTTGTACTTGTTCCATTTGGCGCGACATCGATTTGTAAGCGCTTTCGAGTGTGACAATAAATATGGGCAGAAATCAAATTTGGTGCGACATCGATGATATATTAATCGAAGAAGATGTGTTGGTTTTGCATGTGAATTCTTTGAATTAGGTGGAGGATTGTCAGTGGCGGGCATTTGTCTAATGATGTAAAACACTATTCAGATACACTTAAATCTAAAATGAAATAATAGTTAAAAGCAGTCATCACACAGCTACATTAAAATTTTGCTCTACTAGACTTTGATTGAATCCAGAATACAGTGACTGTCACATTAATATCAAATATTAAAAAGAGAAATCACAGTGAAGAATAACACATGCTTTTCTTCTTGTCAAATTAGTATCAGACTGTTTCATATTTTTTATGCATATTTCCATGATAACCATAACCAATGCATGAATGAATGAATGAATCCATCAGATTGATATAAAATGGTCTATTTTTCTCATTACAGCAACTAAAATGAGTCTAGTTTTACAACACATAAAAGAAAATTAAGATTTTTGTATATCTTAACATGCATTACCATAGGATTTATCTTTTTTTTATGTTAGATTTACTATTAAAAGCTCTCAATAAATATCATGTTTTTCTAAAGATCTCGATAACGAAACTATTGGTAGCCAAAATCCATGGAGATCTCGAAATACTATTACTGATCAATGATTTCATTGGTAAACATCACACAAAAATCATATTAACACCCTCGAAAGGTCTGTCAATTGGTGGAATCTTTCTCCAACATCATATCTTGGTATCATTGTTCATCTCACTAAAACAAATGAAATCGACTTACTACGAATATCACTTGCTCAGTTATCATTTCTACTATCAAATAATCCACGACCAGTTGCTATTTTTCATGAAGGTGATTTTGATAATAACCAAACTTCACAATCTTTGGCACAAACACTTGGTCCTCATACACCGTTAGCTTTTGAAAGAATCGATTTTTCTAATAAATCAGTTGGACCTCCTCCAGTTGATCCTATTACATTTTCTCGTGGTTATTCTGATATGTGTCGTCTTTTCACTCTCCTGCTCTCAAATCATCTCCTCTCGTCAAGTAATAA